GGTGCCCTCGCAGTAGGGTGTTTGTGTGCGGGGAGTTACAGGAGCAATTCACCTGGACTAAGCGAGGGCGAGGAGTAAAATCAAACCGTGTGTTTATAGTGCCACCTGAAATGAATGCCCTGAGTTAATAAATAACGTTGAAAGGATTACAGCTGGTGTGTGCGCACAACCGAGTCCTGGCTGTGCCTGTCAATATGAATGTTTCATTCAAGGTGTGTTTAAGGGAAATGGGGGTGGGGGGGAGGAGCAGATCTAGTCTGGTTTTAGTAGCAGCAGTATGTTTTCAGTAACTTTGATATTTAAATATGGAAATGTGCAACAAATTGCTTTTCCGTGTGGCTAATATTTTCCCTTTTTATAGTCTAATGTTACTAGAGCGTATTATATTTCTTCCTAGCTTGCACCCAAATTCAGCCTAAGTTCACATACACCCAGTGCCAGACTGATGACTAGAATTTCTTTACAGTTTTTCTTGATGTAGGGAAGAGGGAAGGAGAGAACTTTTTAATGACTGATGAATGAGCATACACTGTTGCAGTATTTCATTTCTTGTTAAGATTGATTTTTTTTTTTTAAATCTGATAAATGTTTCTGGCTATTTATTTGAAAGAAAGAAATGGTGAGGAGCATGTGGTAGAGCCAGTGGCAATAGAGAAAAAGGAAAGAAGGAAGAATAGCCTTCTGCAGAGGAAATTGTTACTGATAATATCTTGGAAATTCCATTTATTTCAACACTGAGCAAATAATCAGTGTTGGATAAAGGAAAAGGGAACGATATATGAAGAGTTAGGAGTGTTCAGCATGGGTTCGATGGCACATGTAGTATAAGGTACAGATTCTTGAGTGTCTCAGGATTTCTGATACTATTTTAACAAAACAGTGATAACCAAAATTTCAGTTTCCTGTCTTTATCTTTTAGAGTTTTGTTTAATATTAACCTTGAATGTACAGCCTATTTGACCTGCTCGTCACTGCAAATTTGTGTTTGGTCTCCAGACTGTGGAGCATGACATGTTTTTATTTTTGAGTGAGCATGCAGGAAAATGTTTGGCATTTATACCAAGTACAGGCTCCCCATTAAAAGCCTTATTAAAAATTAAGATGTGGCAAAAGTTGAATCTTTGAAAGGAAATTCAGTCCTGACTGTAAGTTTGGTTTCAAGTAGTGTTGAAGGTGTATTTAAAATGGAGGATTTGTATTCATTTGTGTAATTTGTCATTTTATCTTTTGTTGCAATCCTTAAAGCTTTTAAATAACTATCCTAGTCTGAAGTGAAATAATAGTGGTAAGTCGTGCCTGAAAATATAAAATCCTTTGAATGCAATTCTAAATTTGTTTTTCTCTCTTCTGCCCTAAAAATTAGGGGGAAGAAAGGTGTTTGCAAGAATTGTTTATTTTCTGCTAATTTGTTTTTGTGAGCAGCAAAAACCTCTGTATCTCTTTCTCGACTCTCCTGAAGTAACTAAAGTTTTAGACAAGTTTGACAAAATATACTAGCAGTTCTTATTTTAACGAGTCTATATAGCAAATGGTAGTGTCTGTAGTTATTGCATGCAGTAAATTAAATAAAGGATCCTTATAGCAGCCTGATAGTGTTTGTGTAATTGGATTGCTGAAACTTTTTTCTGTCCCAGATGTCTCCATTTGGCATCCTTCCTGTCATAAGACAGATCAGTGGCTTAATTGACGTTTTTTCACCTGCTCTGTTCTATAACCTTTTATACAGCATGTTCTGTGCAACCACATAGAACTCAAGCAGATACAATCTTTATTTTCCAAGTGCTGTGGAAAAATCAGAAGGTATATTTAGAGGGCGGAAAGCATGATTTTTCATTACTCTTTTGAATGTTTGAATTTATCGATTTCATGTTTAAGTGTTTTGGAGTTCAAATTTTGTTGGCGAAGCTAGTGATGGAACTAAAAAAGTGACTTTATCTTGTATTTGTTTTAGGCTTCTTCCTCTTGATCTAATAAATTTGGAAGCTGTCCTAATAGAAAGTATTGCTCATCTTTTCATCTCATGCAATATCTTCTTTAATATGTGTGTGTGGGGGGGTGTATACATATATACACATACATACATTATATATATAATTCAGTCACCAGTCTGATTTTTAGTGCTGAAACTTGCAATAATGATAGACTGCCAATGAATAAATTGAAAGATGTTTGTACTGTGTTTCTCAAAGCTGCATTTCAGATGGAAAGACTCATATTTCAAGTGCTGTTACTACAGTATAGAAAGTCCTTTATGTTCTGAGAAAAATAAGTAAATTCATAGTTGCGCTGAATGAATTACTTATGAAAGAATTCAAAAACAACTGGCAATATTTTGGTTACAAAAAATAATCCCAGATATTTGGGATGCAGAAGATTTGCACCTTTCTCAATATCATCTTCATGATAGCACTCTTTTTTATGGTTGCTAAAGTGGCAAGACTTCTATCATTTCTTTGGGGAGACTGTTTTCCCCTCTAATAGGACTTACTGTTAGGATTTCTTTTTCTTTTGATCACTGTTTCTTGCTATACCACTTTAGAATACCCTAAATTTGTCATCTTCTACTTAAGGAGTAGCAGTTCTTAACCTAATTTTACTGTTCCGTTACTTTTTTTGCTCTTTTCTTCTGAATCTACAGCAACTTATTTTTGAATTTCAGACATACCGGTAATTGTGCAAAAGTTGGGCAAAATTGCATAAAACACCTGTATATCAGGTTCATAGGATTAGCACTCCCTTCCACCCCATGTTTATAGCTGTGCAGTCTCTTTGTGGAATTGCATCTTGAGTTCAGAGTTGCTGAAGGCTATAGCATCTGCTGTTTTAAGGATAGACATTGCTTTCTGCTCTGTTTTAAATTTGACTTTTTCATCATTTTATATCCCCTTGCTACTCAGCATACTGCTACAGAATTAGGAAGTTCAGTTACTTTCCGTTTTCATTTGTCTTACGAAGACCAACTCAGACAGGGTCTGGTCCTGAATCCTTTATATTTCCACTTATGTTTAATTTTTCTAGGCTTTGATGTGCGTGTGTTAATATCTGAGCTAATGTGCATGTCTTTTCAAAAGAGATTTTTGGGCTTATAAGGCAAAAATGTAGCTAATACAATTTAAAAAAACTACCTAAAGTTTAGGTTTTATTTCTGCTTTTTGTTTTATTAACTTACAAATATTTGGATAAGCTTTTTTTTTTTTTTTAAATGAACTCTTTGATACTTAGCCTGTTTTCTGCGACTTGTGGAAGTAATTGACAGTTGTTCAGCTAATTGATTAGCTAATTCCCTTAGTGCTGCATATTTTCAAGTCCTGCTTGCTACACATTCAGGCTTTTTTCACATATTTACTTATATCCTGTCAGTGATTGAGCTGCATTCTGAGCATGAAGTTAAACTTAATTCGGAACTGCTATACCCTCTAAGAGTCTGTTTTTGAATAATTCCAACATTTGTATTGGAAGGGTTTTTCTTCACCACGCTAAGGAACATGGCTGTTTTAACAATAAAGTGTGGGAGGTACTTATTTCGTTGCTGCAACTTAAACTTTTCTTGATAATTGTAGGTTCTCTGTCTTTCTCTACTGTTGACTTCAATGCTCCAAATTATTAGCTAAAACATTTTGTTCTTTTGCCTTTTTTAACTTAGCATCAATCTTATATGACCTTCCTCTACTTTTAATAGTAAGCTAGAACTAAATCTAAATTGCATTTAATCCAGAATTAATAATTCACTGGGGTATTAAAATAATGTGAAAATTAATCATTTTTGCTTTTAATCTTATTAATGTACTTTTATGTAAATCTTCATTTTTCTATAAAAGACGTACCTAGAGACTCAGATTCTGCAACGTTGGTTAATACAGGGAATGATAAAACTAAGCAGATAAGATGTTGGGAAATACTTAACCTTGATAAAACAGAGTATGGAAAGCTGATCTGACAATGTAAAGAAGGTATTTGAATATGTATAGAAATCTATTTTACCTGGAAGAGGTGACATACTTTTTTAGATACCCTGGAAGATGTAGAGCAGGATTCAATGAGGGAATAAATAAATATATCAGCAGATGCTTAGGTAGTTGTTCAAAGAGAGAAATTCAAGATACAGCTAGGTTAGGCAATTGTAGAACAGGTTAGGCAGTTATGGAAAGAGTTGGGCACCTCACCATGGGTTGCAACACTCGCGTACTGTGCAGTCAGTTATCTTGAGCTAGGCAAGAAGAGAGCGGACAGATATGTCTGAAATCTTGTCCTTTAGAGTATGGATGGTAGAGTCAGAACTACAAAGCTGTGCTGTCCACTTTGTATCCAGAACTTGACATCGTTTCCTAATATAGATGTTCTGGGAAAGTGCTTGCAGGCTTTGGCTATAGGAGGAGGAGGTAGTGGTGATGACTACTTCTGTATACTAATTCTTCAATCAGGGTTATGTATTGTCCTTAAAAGTTGCAGCAGTAAAAAAGTAAAATGTGACTCCAGTCATTAGGTTACAAAGTATTGCATTCTTTCTGGCTCCATTGATGTTGCTGCATTTTGTTATTTTTTTCATTTTTTTACACACTGACATAGTTACAGTTAAGGTGGTGTAAGCACACAATGATTGTAGTTTATAGGGTATGGTTTCAGGGATTTCAGAGCACAGCCAACAGAGGCAGCGAACAGACGCAGCAGTTTGCGCAGAAGGGTGCCAGAAGGCAAAGAAGGCACCTCTCCATTTTGCATAGTGGTGTGTCCTTCCCGGGGGCATGGTCATGACACGCCGCAGAGCACGTTCCCCAGTGGCTGC